GTGCGGATTAACATTACCGTCTGTCAAGACTATAAGCCTTCAAATCGATTCGACCATTAATCAATAGTTTCTATCGGTATTGACGACGCTGTTCGAACCAAAGATTTTTTGAGACCTTTCGAATTTCTGTGGGGACCATATTCTCCAAATTTAACCACAAACTGTAGTCCAATGGATTCAAATCTGCACTTCTAGGCGGCCAATCTTCTGTATCTATGAAACCAGGAATATTAATTTTTAGCCACTGCTGGAGAATTTTTACCTTATGTGCTGGGGCAGAATCTAATAAAAGATCCACTCTACACTCCATCAAAGAGAGTAGTGATTAACTGCTTAACCATGCCTTATAAAATATCCTGTGTATACTCTTTTAACTCAGTTTTAACCCGTTTCCATAGAAGTGAAGAGATGCAGTCCTTTAGAGGAGATTCGCCATCAAACCATTACAGGACATGGATGGTGGAACCTTGGAATAACATATTTGCGTCGTTTAAAGTTTTTGCGTAGATTTTGTTGTTTTGTTTATTAAAAAATTCTCCAACAGTCAAAATTTACTCATCTGCAAAAAAAAGATACTTTCATGGCAGTAGAACGTTTGTTTCAAGTGTATTGTTAGAAGATGGCCGGTTTGTCTTGACACAATTTGTTCATGAACAGTTTTGTGGCTTTTATCGCTATCGAACTTCCAATTCTCCAAAGTTCTATTTGGCTCTCCATGAACCAAGTGATCTGATATGAAGTCAAAGTGAGTCAGTGTTCTTTTAGGAAGCCAGATTCTCTGAGTATGATAGCAACTTTCCATCCATACACCTTTCGACGATGTCTACGGGCAACATCTGCAAGATGGCGTTAAGTGCCATGGTTGGAGTAGACCTTAGTCCACCTATCTTCAATTGTGATCTTTTGTAGAACCCTTCATTACATAAATACTCCATAAAACATAATAAAGTTGAGTATGATATCGTAGAACCAGAGGACCACTTTCGGTGAGAGACCCTACCTTTGCCCAATGGCTCCTCTAAAAGAGTGTACATTTTTTCTAATTTTTCTATTTTTCTATAAGTAATTTGCGTGCCAATCGAGAAAAATATCAATTATAGCATCCCTCCATCAGCAAAAAGATGCAGTGAACGTGTAAAAGAGGAAGCATGGATTGTTGCCTCGCTACAATTCGGTCCACAACACTCCACTGAGACTTCAAGCGGTGACAAAATAACCACTATAATTTCTCGCAGTGTAAAGATAATCGCAATCAAAGGAATGCAGCCAAAAAGCAACAATAAAACATTCATAAAGAAATAATATACGCGCTTGTTTGTGTTATAAATGAAAGAATTCTTCAAGAAAATAATCTCTTAAGCTTAATTCTATAGAAATATACACAGAGACGGGGACAAACCGTTGCCTACCGCCCACCGCGCGCAACAGCTGATGCCAGCAACACTAGCAGCAGTAACAACAACAACAAAAATCAAGTTAGACCGCCTGAGCGGCAGAGTTCCACAGCGCAGCCGGAGTCAACAAGAGTTGGTGGGAGGGGGCAGCGCTGCAAAGCGGTAGCAATGCAAAGGAGATTTCTTCATTGTGTGCTTATTACGCTCAGGTTTATAGATATATGTATGTATGTGTATGCATAATATGAGTGTACCGCTTTGCAATCTGACAGTCACCGCGAAAGTGCAATTAACACGAATTTGCCAACAAGCAGCGGCGCGACTGCGGCTGAACAGCGGCACAGCGTCGAAGAACAATTAAATTGGATAACCGGTTCCAGCGTGCGGTTCATAGTACACACACACGTGTATGTATGTGTGTGTATGCTCAGTGCAAAGTTTGTTGCTTTCAAGCAGTGAGTAATATCTGTGCACGAGTGCGTATGTATGTACAAAGCGGTGCATAAGTGGAGCGGTAGTGGAAATAAGCTAACTGTGATAAAAAAATTATCATTATAAGAATATGGCTGTGGTATGGAAAAATGTGCGAAATTAGAAGAATGCTAGCAGAAAGTACTTGAAGAGCGCTACTTGAAATTTAAATGAAAAAAAAAAATATTAAAAAACTCTCTAAAAGTGCTAACTCATACGAGGTCTATTCTTTAAGTCAATGGCTTGTGACTTTTTATCCTATAAACTTGATATATGGTATTAAGTTTGCCAAGGAGTTTACGATACCTAGAAGGAAGCTTCGGAAATCCTATAATTATACATATAGTGGTCCCTGCGTATATAGTCTTTCAGTTGTGGAGATATTAAACTGAAATTTTGCAAACGTCCTTTTCTGCTTTCACACTTGTTTTCTGCTTACACACTTGTTTACGATGTCCGACTACTTTAGTATAGCTACCATAAAAACTGATCGATAAAAACCAAACCCTTGAATGGAAACCTTTTTTTTTTTTTTTTTTTTTTTTTTTTTTTTTTTTTTTTTTTTTTTTTTTTTTTTTTTTTTTTTTTTTTTTTTTTTTTTTTTTTTTTTTGACAACATATCTTCACGAAATTCGATATAGATTTTTGCCCAAGACAACACTGCAATGTCCGAACATATTGTTCAGTTGGAAACATTATAGCATATAACTGCAATCTTAGCTGACCGATCATAATCAAGATCTTTCTATAAGAAATGCTCATATAAAGGCAACGTACATATACAAGTAGAGTAGCTACAATACAAACGCACCAAATTTTCTGCTTGTTTTGTCTTGACTTGACCAAATGTAGACAGTCCCAGGGGAAATAATATCCGATTGCGATTGAGAAGAAGCTCGGCAGAGGCTCACTTGTAGTGAAGTTCTTGGTTTTGAACCATCAGACTGCTCCAACTCCTGTAAGATAAGTGAAGCAGCTATGATTTCTTCTATTCCGAGATCCTTTTCTATTTCACCCGTCTCCAGCGTTTCTTGTTGCCGTCCGAGGGGTGGCTCTTTTAGAGCGAAGGAACATTTTTCCCAAGCCATCTTCCCGAAAGTCGCGTACAGAAGATCCTTGGCCGCCTTATTTATCGGGAGGATGTAGCTTTAGCCTCCATCTTCGTTGATAGATTTCGCCACTCTTGACACCTTTCAGTCGCTAGTTGGCTTCCAATAGCTTCATTTCCACTATTTTCCACCACTCCTGTGACATTTGTCCCAATGGGTTACTGCGGTCTTTGAACGCGACGATTAAATGCCGCTTAGCAATCTCATTGGTGGCCTTGTCGTCCACTTGCTTAGCATCTACTTTCCCGGCTTCGCCCTTAAAGCGGTTAGCATACCGTGAATCCGGGACACTACACAAATTACGAGTGGCAAAGTGTGCCCAGCCGTTTTACCTCTTCTTTCAGACTGGAGTTTCCTTCGAATAGGTAACATATTCCGACCGTCGCCTTGTATCTCGCTTTTGCTCCCTCTTGTTGTCAGAGTCGTCTGCACAGGAGAGCGAAGAAGTTCTTGTACCATTTCCACGTTTAAATATCTCAGAAGAATCCAGAAACATGTCTTTGTAACAAACTAACTCTAATATGGGTGCTAGAACGTTGAGAGGGCAGATAATGTAAAGTATTTATATTGCCCTACGATCTCATGTTTGGCTTGGAATCTATTTTTGATGGAGTCTCGATTGTGGAACGCAAACATATGATATGTTGCCAGAATAAATACAGCAACTCGGGAGTCCTAAAGTAAGACATATTAAGCTTCCATTGGCTAATCTAAGCATCCATTGAGAATGGTTTCGTTATCCTTTTCATTGATCATTTTGATATGGACCTTTGTATATCGAAATCAAATAGTGCCTACAATAAAACCAGTAAAGGTCATGAGCTGAAGTCACTTAAAGAAATACATACACCTCTGCCTTCGCCAAAATAAAATTACGGTTTGTTCTTGAACAAAATGCTCAATCTACAGAGCTTGGACTAGATTAGAGCTCAGGTTTTAGGCAGTGCAATCTATAGCAAAAAATCTAATCGTTAAACCTTCGATCTTGTGCCCTTTACATTGATACTTGGAAGCCAACAAGACTAAGCAAAGGATATATCATATTAAGTATAAATCTGCCTTTAGAAATAAAGATGTTGTCTTTTCAAGGAGAGTTGCACTGACTTATCAAACCGCACTCGTACATACATATATCTATGAGAATCTAGGCAAGGGCAATAAATGCGCGAAAGTGATAAATGAAACCAACAAACAGGCTATGAGCACGTACAACAAAAAAACTTGCAAATTCGTAATAGAAAAGCGAAAATATTTTTGCATTACAAATTTTGATTTCAGAATTGAGTTCAAATTGCAAAGGCACCACGCGCGCAAACGAAACCGTCCGATTACAACAACAGTGGAATGGCAAGCGCGCGAACACTCAATAAGTCATTCAACCAGATACAATGTACTATATGTAAGTACCCACAACCTTCTCGCACGCCGTACAAGTTTCTATTGCAATTGAGCTGAGAAGAAAAAGCACACGCTATCATTGATGTTTTCTAAGCGGCTTCGCGAAGTTAGCAGTGGCGCGCGCGAAAACGCTTCACTTTTCGTGCACGCAAATAAATTATTCGAGAAATTAAACACAGCAACTTATTGTCGAGTTAGTAGCGAACGCGCTCTCGCTTCCGAACTTTTGGCAGCGTCTACGCCGCTTGCCGGTGTTAATCATATCATTTCAGTATGTGTAAGAAGAAAATGCGATAACAACAAAGAGCATTGTGCACAGAGCGCGCCTTACATACTAAAAGCCTGTGTAAATAGAGGCGCTCCATATAACAACAACACCAACAACAACAACAAAGTGAGCAAAAATACCGCAAAGATTGTATTGTATACATTTTTAATAATTGATAACCACAAAAAGCGAAACATACTATGCGCTGCCGTTCAATGCGCGCCGCTATACCAGCCGCTGACGCAATAACGGCGCGCAACCAACATCTTCCATACATTCGTAATCAGCACTATACACACTTAAACAGCGCTGCCATCCCCAGCGTTTACTTCAAGTCGGGCGCGCAATCAAAAGCAAAGCGGCGCATTCGCAATCGCGACGCGCGCCTGCACAGCGCTGAGCGGCTGGCAAGCAAATACCGCTTTGCGCTCGACGCGTTCAGTACACTTCTGACGCGCGTTTTTTGCGGCCGTCCGTCACGACGCACAGCTACCTCAATTTTCATTTATTATAAAACTACTTTAATGTATCGTTTTGCGAAAGTAGAGCGAGCGCGTACACTTATCGCCACAGCGGCCGAGTGACAAGACAAAACTTAACTTATCTATCTAGTGTGGCGTAGTAAGGCGTAGACAAGGCGACAATTAACCCTAGCATGCGCCTGACTGCCACTACAGTCGTACATACACAGCGCTAGCATGCGCCGACAGTAGCAAGAAGAAAGAGAAAAATAAACGAGCGTAATGTATGGAAAACACAAGTGAATAATCGCTTCAAGGTAATGTGTAAGCTACAGCTGTCAGCGCGGATCGCTGATCGGTGATCGCGTGGATTGTGGCAGTGATCGCGCGTACGTGCCACGCCAAGCCGCCGAGCGCTTGAGGCAAATTGCAGGCAATTTTAGAACTTAAGCGCCTTGCCGCGAGTAAGTTTTGGTACAAAAACTAAAAAGTGAAAAAAAAACGAATTCTCAATTCAAATATGTTTGACTAAATGTTAAAGGAAATAGAGAATATGAAATGGTGCTTACAACTCAAAAAAAAAAAATTCAAAGTAATGGGTTTTCTAGTGACATCAGCTGATTCATGCTGTTATTCTAGTGAAATTAGCGCGTCTAGTCTAACTACTAACAAGTGCTAAATAAATATTAGATTCGTGTCTGTGTGTGTGTCTGTGACTAATGACGTATTTGAAAAGAAACTGCTGCTAGCAGGTGTTACTTGCAAAACCGCAGAAATACTATATACGTCCGGAATGCTAATGGATACTGCTGTGTTCAGTACAACAACAATTACAAAGCTATATTAATTTATACTCTCTACAATAAATCTCGGATGCTATTTATCAACAGCGTTCCGTTGATGTGTTTTAATAAACCTACGTACATACGTTTTTAAATGTTTAGATGAGTGAATCGAAAGCTCCACATACTGATACACATACGAGTATAAACACATTAGACTTCCACTTTACATTCAAAGCTCTGTCATAATAGGCAGGGAAATCGCAAACTTATTACTTAATGGTATAATTATAATTCACGGAGAAATTCCCTTCATGGCAGATCCCTTCAAGTCATGTCTATTTATATTAAATAAATTATATTAATTAAATAAGTAAAATTTCGTTTCAATTGATGTATTTTGCTTGCTTATTGGACCTTCCACAAAAGCCAGACTTTGACTTTGAACTTTAAGCAGTAACAGAACAAACTCATATCAAAACAAAATAAGAAAACATGTTAACTTCGGCGGCGCAGAAGTTAATACCATTCACAAATACAATTAGGGTTTTCACAAGTCTCATAAAGTTATAAATTRTAACGATTCGAAAACATAGCATTGAGAATTGTAAATGTGTAAACTCATTTTTGTATGAAATCCAACAACAGTTTTTCTAAACAAGTGTAAAAATTTATAATTTTACGATTTTACAATGCTTTGCGAAGGGTTGTGAGTACCCCAAATATCAAAGATTCCTTACAAAAACTTATATGTCAGATATATGTTATAGCAATCCGAACTTAACATCTTCCTTGGAGATTGCACGATAACCTGAGAAAATAAGCCATGCCAGATTTCTTGAAGAGATCTCGTCAAATGCAAAAGCTTTCCATACAAGCACTTGATTTCGATCATTTACTTCGCATGGCAGCTATATGCTACAGCAGTCCGATATACGCAGTTCCGATAAATGGGCAGCTTCATGGTAAGGAAAGGACGTATGCAAAATTTCAATTTTTTCATTTCGCATAGATGATGGGAATATAAATTGGTCACTGTCTGGTGGCGACACACGCCCGCAAGATGGGACTGACAGATCGAAAAGGTTGTAGGGCACTAGGGAAACAATGGAGCATCTCTTGTGCACTTGTTGTGCATTGGCACAAGCATCTGAGATGCCCGTGGTATGATACACTGGAGGAGGTATCAATAGTGAGGCTGCAGAGCCTTTTAATATTCGCGTCATGCGCAGGCATCCTAAGGGATGACTTCTCCTTTTTGACCTAACAACTGAACTCCATCTGGTATCGCAAAGGACCAAGACTGGTCTATTCTTGGCTTTTTGGCATACCAGACGTATGTAGTTCAAGAGTTTCAATTATCATATAGAAATACCAATTTCTTTGGGAAAATTTTACGGACTTTTCATTTTTAAATGAGAATAAAGTCTATATCAAATTTCATTAAGCTTTTGATTAAAGTCCAAGTAACCACTAAAAACTAATATTTTCGTTGCATAAGGGCTGAAAATATCTGAGCAGAACGCCAGTGAAAGTTTTCTAATTTCTCTTTTCCTCCCATTATCTTAATTTATCCATTAGTACCTTTCAAGGGTTATACACTGATATAATAGTCCTAAAAACTTTTCGTCACCATTTTTGTAGTACGATTTGTCTTTTGCTTCAAAAAAGGTCTCAGTTTCGGCGATCACCTCCTCAGTGGACGAAAATTTCTTCCCAACGATCACTATTTTGAATTTATGTGTCACGTCGGGGGCTTCAATTTAATTCTTCACTGCTGGGCTGAACCAGGGCTTGACCTCCGTTACGAACACCTTTAGGCATCACTGACCAGGCGATGAGAAATATTCAAAAATATTTTTGTTATTAAAACACTTTTCATTAAATTCTTTAATCATTCGGAAACAGTTTAAATTGGTTGTGGTTTTGGTGTGTCTAAATGCTCCTCACAACTATACACATAAATATATAGTATATATCCGCAAAGTTGAGCTCAAACACGTCATACCGGCTAAGTTTCAATAAAATAAATAAACGAAGGTCTAAAAAATTGAATTTTGTAAAGATTACTCAAAATTACCGCCAAAATATCTTAGTTAGGACCTCTGATATGCTAAAGTGCAGAGCGGCCTGGCGAAATCGGAAAACTGTGGACAAAATAGTTATGCAATTTCGGTCACTACTTCGTCAAACTAATAATGACACCAGAGGCAGAATACACACCAAATCTGAACGCTTAAATGTTATGCTGCCCTAGAAAGCTTTTGCACGTTGTCCGTTTAAACAGGAATTAGTCTAAAAACCAAGTTTCGCCATGTAAAGAATTTGTTTTTTACACTCCGAATAAAGTCGTTACTTGCATACGAAATTATTAGAAACGAAAAGATTGCCTTTTAATAAAAAGGAAATGTATATAGTATAAAATATCAGGTTATACTCGAAATCTGATCAAAGCAAATACCAGATGATGTAATAACAGCGATTTTAAATTCAATTAACAAAATAATCCAAAATTAGAAATTGCAACAATTTATTGTTTTTTTTTTTTTTTTTTTTTTTTTTTTTTTTTTTTTTTTTTTTTTTTTTTTTTTTTTTTTTTTTTTTTTTTTTTTTTAAATACAAAATATGATTGAACATTGTCAAATCTGCTTAGCCATAACACACATCTTTGTAAAAAACAATAAGACTAAACGAACTCAGCTGCCATCACACATTTTATTCCCTACACGAATTGTAAATAATGTTGAGTATCAATTTTAAAATTTAGTTGCGTACACAAATAATTACAAACATTTCATTTATTTTTTGTGTGTTTTGGTATTGGTTTTTGTTACAATTAGTTGCTTTTCTTTCATTTTTGCTGGGCTCGGGAAGATCCGTTATTATATGACATTTTCTTTTCTCAAATCACAAAAAGAACGTCGTTGTGCTGAAACTATGACTGCTTACATTTACAAAGTCATATTTGGCTCTCATTTTAGTCCGATAAAATATCGGAATTATAACCACCATGTTAAAGCACTCTATTTATGCCCAAACCAATTTTAAAGTAAGCAGCTCAGTATGTTAGATCATCCTCGACGCACACCGCAACGCTTCTCGGTGATTCAAATATGTAAAAATATACCATATAAACATTAATAGTCCAACTTGTGACCAAAAATATTAGGTCATCGTAAACATTGATAAGGCGCTAATGTACATAAGTGTACCAATATTTCTTTAAAAAATCTCATTATAAGCAATTTTGTAGGTAACGGCAAATATTTACAACAATTAAAATATTTATATTTATACATGTTTGTTGTTCCAAGCGGTGAGGTTATGTTAACTGAGAAAATATTTTGGTTAGACCATGTTAGGCAATCTTATAATAAATATGCTGGTTCGGAACTTTGAATTAAACTAATCTGATATGAAAATATGCAATAAAATATATCTCGAAAGGCTATCGAACGCATTGATATATAGAATATCAAAAACCATTGAATTATACTAGAACAATAAGACACTCCATAAGGTCATTAGGATAAAACGACATATTGCTTAAAAAATATATTTTCTGTTGGAACCGGCATTGTGGCAATGTAATTTCTCTCATTGTAGATAAATTACCACTTGCTTTTGCTACCCACTCCTTTGAGAGCGCAATATATATATTCTTTTTTGTTCACTTCAAGATGGATCACAATTTTATTGGAGGATAAGAAAACGTTCTAATAAAGATCTCCCTGGTCGGATATCAGTAGAGGCGTGACAATAATATAAAATCAAAAATGAGTATAACAAAATGCGTTAAAATTAGTGGACTCCCTGGTCGGATACCAGTGGAAATTTTACAGATGTATTTATAAAACTCTACAGAAGAATGGGATGGTTCGGCAGCTGCGCGCAGAGGATCTACAGATGTTGGAACGGTGGTTGAGCTGCGCGCCGAAGATAGCAGATATTTAGAGCGTGAAGCTGCGTGCCGAAAATAACAAAGTATGTAGAAACGTCCGCCGATGTTTATTGATCGAAAAGCGTGGTCGAAAAGGGCCGTCCTCTTCCATTACAAGGATTTTTGTTGGTTGGGCTGCGGAGAGTTATGGTGGGTTGATGGATGGCGTGCATTGGTGTGTGTGTGTGTGTAGACTGCTGCTTCCAGCCGATGAGTGTTGTCTCCAAGTGTGGTGAGTGTGACAGTGTTGCTTTGTGATTGGTGTGTTGTGTGGTGTATGAGGGCGGGAAGCTTAACTCATTTAGCCACAATGTATGGATGAACGTTATTCCTTATTTCTAAATTGACTACATAGTACAAATCTCATGGAATGTAGATCAACAAAAACTAGTAATTGTATGATCAGTAATTAGTTCATTTGTAAGCATGACTGTTATCTTTATTCAGTGAATATGTTAAGGAAAGTCGCTCTCTTCCTCTGCCATCACAAGTTGGCATTGAATATTTTTAGATCATTGAAATATAGTATGACGTTGCCAATCAAAAAAAAAGGTTAATAAATCATGGATAGAATCTTTCTTTCATCCACACTATGAGTCCTTTCAACGACTGTTGTAATCTCTCAGCCTTATGCTACATGTATTTACGCTTATTATACTACTTAGTGGCAGGTAACACTTGTTAAAAAATGTTGTTTTACGTTGAATTTCGAAGCATACATTGTGTTCCATGTCTAGACTGATTCCAAGACAAATGAAAAAATAAAAAAATGTTCTAAAAATTTACCGAACTGTTAACAACTTTTGCCTCACTTTCTATTACGTTTATTTGGTATGCTGGTAAAACCACTAGCCACATAAACAAAATTATATAAGTTTTTATATTTCATACAAAGGGACTAAATTTAATATATTGGGTTAGTCAACCAAATAATTGGAAGTCCTAATATTAAGGATTAAGGATATTAAGGTTCCAACATATACATTATTATGAAATATACTTAATCTTAATAAAATATAAATATAAATAAAAATAAAAATCATAAATTAGGCGTGTCGTATTATTGACTCGATTTATTATATTTCTCGTTCAAACTCAACCGAAAGTTCAAAAATTTCCTTATGGCTAAATGAGCCTTAGTCTTGCTGCCCCACACCACACCTACACCCATCTCTAACACGCACACTCACCACACTCACCACGCTCCCCTCGACATCACCACAGTCCACATCAACACCACCCACACGAGAGTCCAGAATCCACACACTCAAACACACACCACACTATACCAAAAGGAAAGGTCAGCATATACGCAAGCAGTGCTGATTCGACCGCCTTCGTATCAATTTCGTTTTCCCGCTATCGCTACGCAGCGTTTCGTCGTGACATATATTAGCGTTTTTTTTCCAAACTTGAAGCTTGATATAAGAAGTGAATTTAAACATTGTAAAGAAAAGGAAAGCCCCATTAAGGGAGTGCTAAACATTATAATTAGTGAATTTAAATATTATAGATATTATAGAAGAAAACTAATCGAGTTGTGCCAGTTATATTGGTAAAACCAAATATACCAACAAGCCCCAAAGAATCCCAAGAGTTTCATTTTCACGTAAAGCACAAGTGGTAAGTGAAGCGGGCACTGACCCCAACACCTTACTAGGTTTACAGGAGATAGTGAAAGCATTGAACTGATTTCATAAATTTTTAGCATCACGGCATATTATTTCGATTAATGTACCTCACAAATTGACCGATATTTTAGGTTAAAAATCAGCCAAAGCCGTTATATAGCGCGTGGGCGTGTTCGTTGGTTATTAACTGTTTTCATCCATTTTCTGTATCGACTTTTTTTGTACAAACATTTTGTGGGTGTAGAATATTCCCATATCCCCCATATACAATATGAAACTGAAAGAATTATGCTGATAAAACTAACAAAATTATCTACCACATTTTTTAAAATTGTTTCAGATAACAAACAATAAAAGGGTTTAAAATCTTGTCTATAAAGATTATACAGAAGTTCAAAACGTGATTTGGAACTCAAATCGAAAGAAAATGTAATATCACAATTACAGAAAAAGTCTTCCAACAAAATTCTTGAAAAGTAAAATGTAAAGCTCTTAAAACTTTCGTGTTGAAGTTTGAGTGCTTAAAAATCGTTAGACAACGCAAGTAAAGGTTGATCCATTTCGAAATTTCCTGCTTCTAAAGAAACAACACAGAAACTTCAAATTTTATGAGGAATGTTTATTTTCATTCGAAAGAACATGCTTTGACATTTATGACGGCTATATCTCAGGAGGTCCATCCGTTGAGTCCAATTTTCGATGTAACTGGTGCCTGATGTTCTGCCGAAGGTTTCAATTGAAGCGCTATTGCCGGTATAGACTTTTGACTTTATATACTCCCACAGGAAAAAGTCTAAGGTAGTGATATCACATGATCTTGACATTATATGATCACCGAAGTGTTCTCGCAAAAAATCCATTTCCATGTGTGGGAAGTGCGCCGTCGTGTTGAAATGAAATCTAGCCGAGATCACGAGCTTCAATTTCAAGCATTAAATAGACAGTTATCATGCCGCAATTAGAAGGGTAGGGGGTATATGTCGCTAGGTAGGATGACTTCGGATGTGATTGTTGGTGTGATGGAAATATCTTTGGCGATGGTATCTGCAAGTGTGTTGCCCTTTATGCCGGAGTGTACAGGTATCCACAAGATTTTGATCTTGCGCGGAAGGGAAATAAGTGTGTTTTTTATATTTTTGATGATACTGCCTGATTTGTTGTGGTTTTGTATAGCTTGGAAACATGACATACTATCGGTGCATATTATATGTTTACCCTTGGTTTCGGCAGAGTATTGAACAGCGTAATGATACATATGGTTGTCAAAAAAAAGTGTTGCGGTATTTTCGCTAATTGGCGCTGAGTGCGCGTAGTTCTAGTTTTACTCGTCGCATCGGGTTATGCTATACCTTTTTGGAAAGCTCATTTCACGAGCTAACACGTGTTTGATTGATTGCCGTTTCTTTTAAGTCGTTCGTGAGTTATAGCGTCGCAAACCTGGAGCAAAATAAAGAGAAAATACGGCATATTTTACAGTACAACTACGATAAAGGCAAAAATGCATCTCAATCCGCCAATAAAATTTGTGCAGTTTATGGACCCGATACAGTTTCCATTTCCACCGCACAACCATGGTTTCAACGTTTTCGTTCTGGTGTAGAGGTGGTCGAAGATGCGCTACGCTCCGGAAGGCCTGTCGTCTAAAATTGCGATAAAATCGCTGAATTGGTCGAAAGAGACCGGCATAGTAGTAACCGTAGCATCGGCCGCGAGCTGGGCATGAGTCATCAAAAAAAGTTTTATGAACGATTGAAAATCCAATAAACATATGGCAAAAATACCGCAAGACCTTTTTGACAGACTAATATATTGAAATTAAAATATTCAAATTTTCTAGAATTCGTTCTAAACGTGGTGGTGGCAAGGTCGAAAATGTATGTAAGCGTTTTTTAACACAATATACATACACTTATTTTTAATAGAATCTGATTAATTTTAACTCTAAAAATAATCACAGACTCAAGGAAGCTATATTCTATACGCAAATAAAGTCTAAATATATGCAATCGTCAGAAAGATAAGAAAACTGAGGAATATGTGCTATCATTAAAAAATAAAAGATATGACAAGTGACAAAAAGTGATATAAATGGCTGTGCAATAGAGTGTTTATATACACAAAATCTAAATACTCATAAAGTATATAAAAAGTAGTGCAAAACACGAAAAAATACAGAAAATACTAATAACATTTGTTTAGAGTGGCAGCTGCTCGCTCCACGAGCGTTTTTTGTGTTCTTATGAAAACGTCTCAGTTTTGGCGCAGTCTTAAAGCCAAAGTGTCAACAACGAGCGTAAATATTCGTTTCGTAACAAAAACGAATTGGCCGTAAAATACTATCAGTGATAACAACAGCAAGCGCTAACAACAACAAAAACAACGACGACGACGACGAATTAACAACAGGAAAACAGCAAAAATATTTAATTAACGACCGGCGCTGCCTCGAATACAACAACGACAGCAACAACAATGGTTAAAGACAGACTGCCGGAGCTGCTACAGGTAAGTTCAGCACACATACTCACACAAATACTCTAAAATATATGTGCATGTGCATACTGGTAGATTATTTTTTATTATTTGGGGTTTTGAGAGTTGGGAGAGTGCAGATAAGAACGCGTTGCCCGTGTGCATGTGTACTTATTAGCGTTTGAAAGATCTAAGCGATGTTGCCATCAAGTTGAAAGTGGAATAATGCCAATAATGTGCAAATATGTCCGATATATTCTTGGACCTTTTAGGTATTTGGTGTTAAAATTTTAAAATATTTATTGATCATTAATATTTTTATTATTTATTAAAGTATCAATATGAGGTAGTTCAAAGTAGTCTAGAACACCCTTAAAGTTATTCGTATAGTGAAGCTCTTATAATATGCCATCTTAATTAGAATATTTTTTTTGAAGCTCATAAATACAGTCATGTTAATAGAGCCGCCAGTGATCATATGACCAGTTTTGGTCCGATCTACTATTTTGTACATGACTTTTGCAGTTTTGTACTTAGGTAGCTCGTTTCATCGGGGTTTGGTTTTCTTTACCATGTTTCTGTCGAGTTCAGCGATCATAAGAATCAACTGAGTAATGTGAATGGTTGTCGGTTCACCAGCTATCTTATCTTTAATATAGTGTTTGATTGTTGCGACCTTAGGCAGTGAAAATCACATAGAACATTTTAAAAATATAAAAATATTTTCGGTTCGCCAAGATCTTAATGGCTCGGGAATCAGTATATAACTCGAAGCAAATGGAAGTTTAGAACTCATAAGTCTTCATCAATAAGCTCATAAGTAGAAACTCAGTGTGTAGTAAAACTTTTGAAATTGCCATGAACATACACAGTAGGAAATAGGGAATAAGTAAACTCTAATTAGTTTAAGCAAAAGGTTGTGAATTTTGAAGATTCGTACCCAAGCAGCGCACAACTCTGGGGAAGAATGGTACTTAGGTCGCCTTTAAACGGATGGTCTTTGGCTGCCTAAAAGATACCTGGTCTAAGCGGGAAGTTATGCGCTTAGAATCGTCATAAGTAAAAGAAACGTTTTTGATCACTCCTAAGTGAATGGCGCTCAGAAAACTTTCCTCACTTGTGTGAACTGCTACATATGAATTCATCCTCTGATTACGACTTAGTTGGTAAAACACTAACTAGCGGAACTCCGAACAACCTTGCTACGATTGACTAGATATAGTACTCAATGAGCTCTTCGATTTTTGATTTTTTATTGAACTTTATAGCCACTTCGACAAGGGTTCTTCAACTATAGCTAGATCCAGAGCATTCCTTTTAAACAGAAAACTTTGAATTTCTACTAAGAAGTCACAAAAGAATTCTGGTTCCCTTATGAAACAAGTAGCTATGTATATGACTTCCACCGCTTCTCGTTCAAAACCGCTACATTAAAAAATCAAAATCCACAAACTTCAAAAAGTTGTATGAAACAGTGGCAACACCCTTTGTAGGTGTAAATTTAATTGCACGTCTAAAAGTACATACATATGTTTGTGTAGTGGGTAAGCGTAATTGGCAACAGAAAGGGTGGAAGCGCGTTCAAACGTAAAAACGGCCAACAACAAACAAGCTAACGAGTCACATCGGCGCACACAGAGAGTTCGGCGACAATCAGTAGAGCACTTAGCGCTTGCAGCCAGCAGAAAATATGGCTAACAGCAGTGAGTAACGGCAGTGGTAGGCGCAAATTGCGCAGATTTGGCAGCACCATCGGCAGGGCGGACGTGTTTTGCTCTTATTTTAATATTAAAATCATTTTGGTTTTTTGTTTTGCAAAGAAATCAGTAAATCGGTGCTTTTTCAATTGCATTCGTCTCATGTTCGATAATCACGCAAACAAATTGATAGCAATCAGCTGCAGACTAGCGTACACCGTTAGACCGTAATTGAAAGAAGGCAAGGCGCATCAGCTGATCACTGACAGAGTTGAAAACAAAAACAAACACTCGGTTAGTGTGTGTGGTTCGGACAATATTTGTGTGTGAATTGGGGTTGTTCAACTGCGACGAAATTTGAAATTTGTAACATTTAATTATTGCATTAAATGAATTTAATTATAAAACTAAATTGCTTAATGATAAAGAATTGTTTACTTTTCATGGTTTGCTTAACAAATATTTTATTTGTTTTCGCAGCGCTCCAGCAGCGTGCTGTCCACCGTCTCCGGCACGAATGGTTCGGCATTATTTCAGCGCTCCAGCAACGTCGAGCTCAAATTCGCAGAGATGAGTGCCCCCATGGACGCCATACTCAATCCGGTAAATAAATATACTTATTAATTAAAAATAAAAGAAAATTTTTAAACAAGCGATTATTTAAAGTGCAAGGCGGCACCAAAGACAATGCTAGAAAGTGTGTGCACAATTGTCTGTGCAAATGTATGCATATACATATGTGCTTAAAAATGTAGGTGACTTCTTAAAGTCGGCTGGTCTAACAAAGAAATCATCTTCCAGAAAGACAATAACAGTGCGGTTTACTTATTGATAGGCGCTATTAAACTTGCTTAAGCTGATAGTCGCACATATTTATAAACATTTATAATAGTAGATATTCACGTATTCTAAGTGACTGCGTGTTAGAATGTGAAAATCTTTCTTATGCATATATAGGTACATATATGCAGTGTTATATATTTGCCTACTTGCGAGTTCAATAATCGCATCGCACAATTATGATTTCTTTTAATTTTCTCAATTTTACTTCATCTGAGCATTATTTATGACTTAATTTATTATTTTATTTCTTTACTTTTTTATTTTTACAATTATTTTTATTTATGTATTTTTCTAATCATACTTTGGCTTACTACTGTGAGTAAAAAATGGTCTGGACTATTTTCATAATTTTAAAACCCTTAATTTATTCTTCAAAATCTATGTCGTCCCAAAAAAAATAATCCCCACACTCGATCCCGATACTCGAAGGAAACTGTCAACAGAACCTTGCTTTTCACCTGCTTTGAAGTGTTTTTTGGGTTTCGGCTCACCTTCGCCACGATATTCAGCCGATTGATCATCTATTTTGGGGTGTTAGCATAGATCTAAGACGCCACCAATAAGTTCTAATACTGTTATTTGTCTATTCTCAAGCACCACTTCTTTTATTTTAAAGATCATCCGTTAATGTGTATCGTGGTTCATCGTCAACGCGTTCTCGACCCTCTTCGAATAATTTGTACCAATCAAAGACACTTGCTCGGAACAAACAATTATCACCGAATGCCTTTTCCAACATTCTGAACGCTTCGGTTTCAGAAATTTGATGCTGCACACCAAACATAATTAAACTTTTTTTTTTTTTGAAATTTTTTTTTTCACTCATCGTAAAAATTTCTGAATGCACTTTTGGTATGTACTTCAGCAAGACGATACATGTACTAAATACTAATGATTCTTTTGATGTGATATTTAGCACAGACTGTCTACCAACACAGAAACAAATATTTTCACGAAGGGGTTTTAAATTAAATAGTACTACTTTTTTGCCCACAGTAGTGTTAATTTTAATATTTAAATTTTATTACTTCATTTATTTCATATTTTAGTTTGATTTTAAAATTTTAATTAACCTACAA